ATCACAAAAAAATTGGAAGGAAATGCATTGCATGATGGATTTAACTTATTTAAGTTGATTATATAGCGAGCTGGCAAACACCGTAAGTGAGTGACTTAGTACCACACAGAGTTCCTATGAAGTTCAAAATTTTCACTATCTTCATCATCTCTATGTGTAGAGTAAGTATATTTTGAAGAGTAGTCATCAAATGATAAATCCCCAAAATAGTTTTGCATGTAATTGTTAACATGCCACCCATATGGATCCGAGATTGGTTAACGTTGTCCATAAGCAAAATCATTTGAAGATTGAGTCTCGGATTCTTTCCATGAGTCGCTTGATTCCATCCCAACAGGAATGGGATATGAAGGGTAGGGAAATGGTTGGTTGTGAGTATAACCATAGTTACTACTCATCTCATGGGAAAATTTGTTTCTTGCAAAAAGAATTCAAAACAAAACCATGTATATATATAAAAATATTTTAGTATTTTCACAAAAACATAAGTGATATGGTGGTTTAGGTGTTGAAGGAGTAAAATGGTTTTCACAAATACCATGTATATAAATATTTTTGGGTTTCGTATCGGGATATTATCGATAATATCTCGATATATTGCCCAAATCATTCATAAAAATGTTGAAAATATCTTTCCGATAATATCGGGATAATATCGATATATTGACGATAACACTATGGTTAGTTGTTAAAATATCGGACCCCCAAAAATCAGATATTATCGGGATAATATCGGGGATATTATCGATATTTAATACCTTGGTCTCAACAATGCCTATGCATTCTTCAATCGAATACATCTCCTTAGAGGTGCTCGATGCCTCAAGACTCTTTTCCTTTTCTCGCTGTAATTTTTGACTCATAACTTCACTGCAAACATCAAAATAAGATTCCATTTTATCCCATTTCTTTGAACGACGCTCGGGTGGAGCAATAGTTGCACACTTTCTTTTTCCTTTACCACTCAGAAGCTGAGGGTTGTCACCATCATCATCCAAGTCAACATCGATGTGAACTCCGGTGTTAAGGAAGTTGTTTTCTAACTCACGTTCATCATCTGAGTTAGGAGGAAGTTGACTAGAGGCATAATGCAATTGCCCGGTTGCAGTAGTAGTGTTGAATATCTCCCCTAAAAGTTGATAGTGCTCTAAGCCTTGAGTGCGAAATTGCTTCGCTTTTGGCTTACTCTACAAACCATGAAAATTATATTATATCAAATGTCACAACCAATTCTTATGTATCAGAGTCAGTTAAAAATAATAATACAAAGACTTCTATATGATATTATTATAATACCTTCAAGTAACTTGCCCAAACATCTTCTGAGGCAGTCACTGTGTTTGCAATAGGATCCCACCCAAATCCCGTATGCTCAATCAAATCTGAGAAGTCACGATGTACTTGTCGCAGTCTATTAAACTTAGATTTAAGTTGTAGAATAGTACATTTTTGTCCACATTGTGCATACAACTCATCACTTATTTCTGCCCAAACTTTCATTTTAAAAGTTCATGTCTGCAAGTCACCCTTCTTCACATGTTCATGCAATATATGTATGAATATTGTCTCATGTCTTGGAGGCCATGACATTTTTTCTTGACCGTCAACATTCTTGGACTCCATATCCTTTTAAAGAAAGAAAATTATGACAACCTTCAATCATGTAATGCACAACTAGAAACTACCAAATAGCCTTCATCTTACTATGACAAAACCAAATGTTTGACAGAATTGATTTGCATCTTTTTAATTGAATCTAACAGCAGCTCCTGTTTACAAGAGTTTCATCCTAATATTTCAATTGAATCATAGAAACCTTTGCCAAATTTAAGAATCAATCTTGCCCGTTTACTACAATCACAGTTATAAAGCAAACTAAAATCAGAAAATAGATCCAGCTCCTTTGACTTAACCAAAGGCAGAAAACATGGAAAAAATTCAATCCTAGATAAGATCAATTGCAGAAAACAGGGAAAAAATTCAACCATCGACATAAACAAAACTTAAATTAAACTTAGCATAAAGAAAACCCCAAATCTAAACACAAATAACACCATAGTCTTCATACCCAAATCTAAACATAAATAGCAGAAAAAAAAGAAGTAATTTCTTACCAAATCTTCCAGAAGGCTGAGCAACAAGATCTTCCAAGAGAGTGTGAAACGAAATCTGAGAAGAAAACTTTCAGATACACCATACAGAAATACCCAAGTCCAAAACGAAATATTTTATACAAATTTTTCTTACCAAGATCTTCCAAGAGAGTGTGTAGGAAGATTGCAAGAGTGAGAAGCAAGGAATTTCTCTGTTTCCCGTAGATGAAGGGCGTGTTTCTGTTTCAGACTTGGACGAAGGGACGAAGACGAAGATGAGGGGATGAAGACGAAGATGAAGACGAAGGGCGACGTAGATGAAGGGACAAAGACGAAGATGAAGACGAAGCAGTGAAGGGACGAAGATGAAGGGATGAAGCGTGTTCTGTGTTTTGTTTCCCTTGTTTTCTCCGTTTTCCCAAATAGAATCCTGCGTTCTCTAATTTAGAGTTGAGGATGGAGAGAACGTCATTTTGGCATTTTCACTTTTTACGCTTTAAGCGTGAATTCATTCTCCCAAAACCTTTTCCGTGTTTTTGTCGAGAACCCACCGAACGCATTTTGCATCTGTATTTGGGCTCAAAAAACAAAAATGGGCCTCTAAATATCCTACCGAATAGCCCCTTACTGATTTTAATGTATTTCATTAAATGGTGTATTGTGTGAGACTTTTGAGTATGTGATATACATACCAAATTACATAACAAATCACACCCTCCTATGCATGATTCTCATATATGCTATCATACTTTTTTTTCCCCACTATTTTTTCTTGCTTTTTACTGTAAAAATAATTTCATGAGCGACGATAAAGGACCTGTTTACACCTAGAAGGCCCTGGGGCCAATCAAGGCTGATGACATACCTAGTGTCCAAGGCCATGATCTTGATTTCAAGGGTGCCCTAGACATCATGGGCTATGGATATTATGAATGTGCCCCACGGCCATTCCTCGGCCTAAAACTTCATCAGCAGGCTTCGGTCTACTGGGCAAACTTGCCCTAACAACCAGATCCGATCAAACGAGTTGTTTCTGCCTAATAGGAAGAACTGTCCCAGCAGATCAGCTCGGCCCAAGAGACAGGCTCGACTCAACTGTCGGGTTCCCCCAACGGTCAAACCAAGACTCGCCTCATCCCTTGCCCGAGTCCCCCACTAGCAAGCTCAGTCATCGCCTTAATTCATGGCCAATCTTCCAGCCAACATGACATCTTCACGTGGCCTCACATGGCCACTATCCCGGGAGCGGAAAAAAGGACTACACACTGAGTGAAACATGAAGGTGGTTTTCCTGGAAAACGACGCACCAGAGAGAATGTGGAACGTGTTTTCTAGAAAAAGGGAAGACTTTCCATGTCAAGACAAGCACATGTTTCCGAATCTATCAGTGGAGCTATAGGAAATCACCATTAAGTACAAAATGACAAAGGCTACATCCCCGGACATCTGTCCAAAGTCCCTATGTCCTCCAATTAGCTTAGGACGAGGGGGGACATCTCAGCCTCGGCCATGAACAGTACTCAGCCAAGGGTGAAGGTTCTAGCATACCCACCTTTCTGTATTGTCCAC